AAAAAAAAAAAATGGCGGATGAAAAAAAAATGAGGTTGTTGTTTTGTGAAATTGATCGTGATTCAAAGACGATTGAAGTTATATTAATGTTTATTGAGCTCCAAGGTATTTAAATAAGATACCTTGACATAATATATACATATTGTTGGGTTAATTGTATATATATATATATATATATACATATATATATATATATAAGATAAACAACATATAAACATATTTTTCATTCTGCAATAAACAGGAGCACAAAAAAGTGCATATATTTATATATATATATATAAAAAGAATTACCATTTTTTAAAAATAGTAGGTCAAATTCTGGTCAAATCTTTAATTACATTCCATACTTAGTAATTTTTTTTTTCAAAAAAATCAGCATTAAATGCTACCCTAAAATTATGGTATTTGTTACTTTTCTTTCAAAAAATCATGCTACCTTAAAGAAACAATATTACATATCATAAATTTTGGCCAACTAAAGTGTTTTATTTGGAAACTATTATATTTTAATTAAAATTAATTACGGTTGATTTAATCTTGAAATGGTACAACAATTTTATTTTTTTTTAATTTGCACCCTAAATTTATATATTTTGTAGATTTAATTTAGGTAAATTTCGACTGATGCAAAAGTCAATTTTCTTTCTCTATTTGTATTAAAAATCTTATTAAAATAAAATCAAGAATTTCGAATTAGGCAAAATACTATCATATATATCTTTTACTAATTGAAAAAATCAATTATTTATTATAAAAATCGGATTGCATAGTCGGTATGACAATTTTGTAAAAGTCAAAATTCTTTCATTTTATTATTAAAAAAATATGTTTACCATACAATCGAGAATCATGAATTAGACAAAACATTATAACATGTATCTTTACCTAATTGTAGCAGATCATGTTTATTAAAAAAAATCGGATTACATAAAAATCGGGTCAAATTTCAAATTAAAATTGAAAAATATTTTATCATTTGATTACTACTTTCTTTAATTCGTACTTTTTTTTAAACATAAAACAAAGTCATATAATATTAATTTGAAATTCAAAATGAAATCGGATTGTAACATCCTAAAAAATTGGGTTTTATTTAATTATCTAGAATACAAATTTGAATCTATATACATATTAAAAGCCAACCTATTTACCAAAAACAGTAGCAAGAAAAGTCAACACACATTTAATACATACTTTATTTATATTTTTTTACTATATGCATTAAATGCTTGCATATTTACATTTTCCAAATATGATCTTCAAAATTTTTTCCTTAAATAATTTATGCAATGATTTTACTGATATCCATTATAATTAATATTTGTCGAGTAATATTTTTTAACTTTTATTTAATTATATAACACTAATATTTTTTAAAAAAATTAATATTATTTATTATTAAAAGATAATGATCACATCATTAAATGATTTTATTGATGGTTATATAATAAAATTATAGTTATTCTTTAAAACTTCGACATGTTATTTATTTGTATATTATTGTCAACTAGGAGTGTTTTTATCACTTTTTTTTTTTTTTTTTTTTTTTTTTT